GAATTTACATTATTGCCAGAATCCTGCTCGTCTCAGCTATTTTGTAACGCTGGGGAGCGTAGAAGAAACTAGGCCGTTAATGTAGTGGTCATTTTATCGCACCATTGCGGTAAGTGTTATTTTGTTCTTCACTTCTACATGTATACCCGCCTGATAGTAATGTCCCAGATCTCGACGTTCGAACGCAGGTCTATTTCTTCGATTAAGGCATCTCAACATGAATATAGAGGAACTGCAAAGAGTGTGTGCATTGGATGTATTTTGTCGTCGTGAGAGATTGTATGTGTTGTAGTAAAGGGGCCGTGTGAGAAGGTTATGTAAGAAGATATACATTGATAGAGGTGACACAGGGTCCGTGTGTAACTAAAACGCATGCCTACCGATTTGTAGGAATGTTGTCAATGACTAAGTGGAAAATTTTCTTCATGTAATTTATACGTTTATTGCTTGATTACATCTTTAAGCAGAGAGAAGGTTAGCATCTCCCTCGACCAGGACAGGATTGCACACACGTGCACAAAGACACCCACACACCATGTGGAGCGTTTGAGCTCTGTGATTCTCCGTAAAGGCATCTACCAATCAACTTTTTTCTCTATTGCCGCATGCCGACTAAGCGATCGATTGCATCGATCGATGTCTGCTCCAGCACCACCGCCAAGAGTAGCAGCAGAAGAAGCAGTAGCAGTAGCAGTAGCAGTAGTGCTATCAGTGGTAAGAAAAAAACGGTCAGATAGAATAAACACTGTCGATTTAGCAGGTACACCGATGTCCACTTTGCCTCCTCGTCGCATTACGTCGCCGAATCTAGTCGCAAACCGACTGGGACTGTAGTCGTCTGCACATCTGCAATTTCTGCAGATATGTCGGAATCGACGCGCGTCGCAGACCTCGTGCCGTTTCATGACATTTATTCGACTCAACAGCGACACACTCCCTTGGACTATTCAAGCCGTATATAACTGATTTTTACGTCGCCACTGTGGTGGAGTGAAGATTACAAGATTGTTTTGATCCCGACTTTCAACTGGCGACCATACGACCGACTACTTTATGCGGTTTTCCGCCTCCGCGCTTGTTTTCTTCTTCACGTTGTGTGCTTGTCGGTGGAGCAGGTTGCACTCTTCCAGGTGGACATGTGTCGATATATAAATTGGCCGTGTTTGAATGGGGTTGGTGATCGTATGGAAATCTTCAGACGGCCACGGGTCTACTCGTATATTGCTTGATATGAGTTTCCCTGATCTCTAAGATATCGCGTAGTACAATTGTAGATGCTTGATTCGCGAGCCTTCTGACCACTTGAGCCGTCTCTCGATCTTGCTTTATGCGTCCAATCGCAGTCTAGGGGTCTATAGATATCTTGCACTCCTGGGTTAATAATCTGGGATGATAGTATGGTGATCGGTCGATCTTCTTAATCATCGCTAGGTCAAATGATCCCATACGGAAAGAAGAAAGACACTCGTGCACTTAGAAATAATCTTATTCATTTTAAATGCCATTCAATTCCCAAAATTCATACATCTGACTAATCCTATTACGTTTGTTACGATCTACCACCACGTGTCGACTTCTGCTGTCGAGATTTGATCTTCCTTCGTATTCGGTGGCCCACATCGGACAACCGTGGCATTACTATCTAAAGATTGCGATGCACGAGATCAAGTCACCCAAGACCGCATCATCCAAGATCACATCATCCAAGATCACATCATTCAAGATCGCGCACCCAAGTTTGCATCATCCAAGTTGGCATCATCAAGATCGCATCGTCCAAGATCGCATCATCCAAGATCGCGGTGCACATGATCGCGATGTGTGGCGCACCTCGTGATATGGCTCACATCTACAGCAATACTAGTACTAAGTCGTAGTGTAACGGGGCATCCCGTTACATGGAATTGTCACTATAAGGAAAGTGACAAAAAAGAATATGAAGTTGAATATTTTTAAAACAATATCACCGAAGTGGTGATATTGAAGGGTCGACCAAAGAGTCTGTTCATTGGTTTATATCGTGATGATATCAACCCACCAATCGCCGCAAGACGCGCGCAATGAGTGGTGACGAGACGTCACCATACACTCAGTTATATTAGCATAATTAAGTTAAGTCAAACATAGAGACAGTAGTTAAAAGACTTAATCATATTAATACAACAGTTTTACTTTTTCCTTATCCTACGCTTCTCCGTTAGCCTCGTGTACGTCTGTCGGGGCACCCAAAACCCTTGAGTTAAGTTCACGCAAGGGTGTGCCCCGTTACACGTAGCGCGATCTGCGGTCCAAACTTCTCGATCTGCTCTACTACAAGTCTGCTTTTGTCTCAGCAGGTCGATATGTTCATCAACCTGATTTATTTACATATCTGCCTGTCGAGAAACTTGCTTGTAACGCAATTTACATTTCCAGCGCCGCGTCAAGTTCATGTTATATGAACTCGGCGACGGTGGAATGCTGTTGGTCTCTGTCTGGGCCGGACAATATGGCCCAAACAGCATTCTCATCCACCTTCGAACTGATACGTTTGACCGCGCTTCATTCGGGGTCACTTAGATAGAAGGAGATTTCACGCGTGGCCTTAAAGCTGTCGCCATCATCGGCCAACTTGTTCACGTTGGTCGAGAAGGTTGAGGTCGTTGAAAAGACTACAAAGTGCTACTTGGTGTAACGTGGCTCTTGCAGCTAGCACTGACTTTAGTGCGTAGCAAACTCTCGCGGACTACGGTGAGAACAAGTGACACGTTTGATGACGTACATACTACGCTTTAGAAGAAGGCTTTGTACTAACGACTAGGCTTCGTCTTATGAATGGAAACATGTGTTTGCATAATTTAGTCGTATAAACGTGCCTTGTCGGGTTATTCTTGTCAAAACGATATGATTACCAAAAACACATTGGTGATGTCTGCTTACCATCCATTGCGCGCGTCTAGTAGCGACTGGTGGTTTATCTGGTTGATGTACCGTGAACATCAACCATCAGGTGAAGCAACCCATCAAAGAAATATTACCCTCGGGGGTAATATTCCTTCAACCTTACTCTTATGAGTAATATCAATTGAACATTATCTAATTAGATCATGTTCAAATATTAAATAAAATAAATTAATTTTATCAAACGGGCTCACCCCGTCATATACATACCATCTTATAAGACTCGCCAAGACCTTCGCTAGCATTCCTAAAGTGTCTGTTCAATATTTCGAGCATTTTATTAACAAGTTGCCATAAGCTTACTACTACATGTTCCAGAGCGGCCGTTCGCGTGCCGACAACGTCTTCAAGCGCTTCAGTATTGGTATGTGTAAGTAGGTTATCTAAAAAAGCTACGGGTACGGCTCGTCGTTCTCGAATGCTTCACTTGGTGCAAACCCATGACGTTCTCACTTCTTATAAGCCCTCTGTGTCGATCGAAATGCCCGTCTCGTTGTTGCTAGGAAGCAAGAGAAGGCTATCTGGACAAGTTTGCGTTGATCCGAGTCGGCTCATACGCGGGGTTTTATATACTTTGCTTCTTGATTGTGCAACATGTGAAAAAGCCGTCAATGAACGAACTCGAAATTCCTCGAGCAACTGCTCACCGACTGGAAGTTTATCGAGCAAATCTAGCAAGTCTATCACATCCACAGACTCAGGGTATCTGCCAAGCCTAAAAGCGCTCGTGCCACTTTTTCGCCACTTTTTTATAATCCTCCTTGTATGACTACATGTGACTTGCCGCGATCATTCTACGAACGCCAATGTATTCAAATGCTACGCGCCATCGTCTCGAAATCCTGTCGTTCACCGCAACGCTAGCCAAAATAGCGTATTGGTTCCGCCACAACTTTAGTTAACTGTCCTGCTCCGCAACGAGAAATAACACTTAACAGAAGGTTTAGACACTGTTTGCCCTGTTGGTTGCACCAATGATCAAGTCGAAGCAGGAGACGACAGAGATAGCCGACACAGGGCATCTTTACTAGCAATTAAGGCTACCAAATACAATAGCTATCATGCACAACGGCCACCAAGTACAACAGCCACCAAGTACAACAGCCTTCAAGCAAAACAGCCTGCAATCCGAACATCCAACAAGTACGACAGTAAACAAGCACGACGGCAAAGAAGCACAACCACCAGCAAATAAGCACAACAGCGAATGCTCTTCATAAGGTAACTTCTCAAAGTGTCCGAGTTGCTGAGTTGCCGCTGCAGATCCGTAGTACTACGTCGGTCCTTGAACTTTTTCGTTGCCACTTGTCCCGCTCTTTCCATCGTCGCGTTGCCTCATGTGGAGTGGAAAGGGACCTACGCGTGTGCCTTTGTTATTTGGTCTTCATGTGCTATAGAGACCGCACTATTGATGGAAAAAGCGCCATCTGCCAGTTACATTGACTCTTGACGTCCAATCTGATAAAGTCAGTTGTGTCTTAATAACAAAAATTAGTCAGGTGGACCTCTTTGTCGAGCACGATGCAAGCTCAGGTCTATTGATTCTCTCGGTGGCTACGATGCCTATCAACAATCGAGCTGAGAACCTAGGCTTCTGATTTGGAAGGCATAGAGATGACCAAGCGTGCAATGCATTACCAGCATGAACGCACGTGCATTTCGCACATCCAGCGAGATTGTTGATCGATGAAAGTATGCAAAAGGTGAGCTGGTTGCTGCGGCTGTAGAACGAAGACCGATTGGTTAACTGTGCAAATACGTACAGATGAAGTTCACGATGAGCTTTGAGAATAAGCGCATCACGTCGATAATATCGACATGTATGTCGAAAGATGACCGCAGAGCGTGTACACGAAGATACCGCTGCCATGCTATAACTAGACTATTTTACGTCTTTTGCTCTACTGGCGGTGGAAATAGGCAATGCAAAGGCACATTCAATGTATTTACTTTTTATTCTAGCTGCATTCCACCAACTCCTGAACGCACGTCGCAGCGATTGATGACCAGCGGGTGGGTGCACAAGTGTCTCTCATCCAGTGATCACATGATGGCGCCAGTCAGTGAGCGTTTTTCTCCATTTGGGCTAAATGATCAGCCACTTTAGCGCCGTCGTTCATGGAATAGAGGGACTCTAACTCCTTTTGTTTACCAGGGCCTTGAATTTTAGCATATTCTAAGGAAAAGGCTTTGTGGGCGCGGTAGAGAGGATCACGTTGCGATAAAGCGGCGATTGAACCACGACCAGAGGGAAGCAGGAGACCTTCAAACTGACTGGGAGTCATATCCTTGTTCATCACCATATTCTGAAAGCGAAGTCGCTGCACCGGTTCAGCATGGGGTCGCAAATTAGTACGATCCATCAGCCTGGCAAAGATACTTGCCAATGCCGCCTCGTCTTTGACAGAAGATCGTTCCAGAAGTTGCACGGCTTCGTTGTCAGGAAACTCCTTCTTGGATTTCGGTTGATGAAGCGCGATGTATTTAAACCACCTGTATATTCCATCGTCCCTGGATTGAAGCGTCTTGAAAGCCTGTTCTGGACTTCTCCCCAAATACAGCAACCCCGCAATAATCACGTCAAACGTACGGTCTTCGACCGGCTTGGCAAGCTGTCTGATATGGCCTTCGATCGGCTTGACAGGCTGTGCATGAGGACGACGAGATCGGAACGAGCCGAATTTGTCCAGTAGCCCTTGAAACACTCTCTTCAGCGGTCCAAATATGCTGTCAAGCACAGGGCCTCTCTCCTCCTTGCTCCGGTCGTTCAGCGCACGTTTGTAGACAGCTGCACCGCCGGTCTTCGACAGTTCCTCCGCCGTGAGCGCAGCCGTTTCGGGACGATGGGCGTCGCTCGGATCGAGGGCGGCAGCATGAGTCAGGACCCCGCCGTTTACAACGAAGAAGACCAAGCAGAGCAGGCCGTGAATACGCATGCTGACGTTCTGCGCTAGACGAGAGATTTTGCCGAATGAGGAACGAGACCAACTGCCTCATTGACGAGCGCACGTGGACCCTTTCTCATCGGCTTTGCAAGGACTGACCCCAACGCCACGACATGAAGCCCAAGGATAGTACACGGCCGATGATTATGGTTGAATCTGAGGACCTCGCATCACGATAAGGCGACCGGCACTCTCGTTGTGAGACAGTTTTTCGGCACGCCACATCGCGGTAGATACCACACAGGGATCGGAACAGGCAACGCACAGCCGAGCCACCATCCACCAACCAACGTTGGTAGTCGTCACTTTCTTCTTGGTTGAATTCTCGTCGTAGCGCATCTTGTGCGTATACGTCAGCTCTCACCCTCCACAGCCATGATACATTTACGCATACGCGACAAGTCCGGCGTCAACACTCCGGAGGAAGGAAGAGAATGACATACAGGGCTCCAAGCGCATAAAAGCAGCACTCGAGACGAACGGATCCTCTACGATTCACCCCTGGACTCATCGAATCTCCCCTCCAGGGGTTGCTTTCCTTCGTGTAGTCTTGATAGTTCTACGGTGCGTGAAGGCATATGAATGCCCGTATCGCTACCGAGAAACGAGAGACGCAAAACACGCAATGTTTTATCGCAAGAGCTCGCTAGCATCTGCCAACACGAACGCTAGCTACTTTTGAGGGTGTCTGCCTCAAACCTCCTGCACCGTGAATGACAATGCCTGCAAGCACAGTCTCAGACTGTCGATTTGCGACCGCCCATGGTAGGACTAGGACGAAGAGCCCGACGGATAGGCTTGACAGTCATGCCGGATTGGCGTCGTGTTATTGTAGTGACAAGGACGGACTATCTAGGAAGAAGTAAACCGACGGTATCGCCGCTTCTACGTAGAATACGTGGAGCGATTGGAAGTAGAGATTGTGCTCTCACAGCTGCACACTCGGAACGAGCGTTGCGCCGAGACAGGCGGGTGGAGTGGGTCTTGCTTCGTTTGACGTGGCCATGAAAACACAGAGAACAAAGCATGCGCTAAAATAGCTCATGCAGAAGCCGGACAGGTACTTTATGGCCTGGAGAAGTTGGACCTTTCGAGCTGCCCGCTCAGTATCTGCATCACTTACGGAGTTGCAACCGATCGGGGATACTGAGCGTGCGTTGGTGAGGCGGCCCATGCGGGATAATATTGTGCGGGACTTGGAAGGTCTCCTCTCTCCTTCCCCGGATCAGCTTCTAGCATTGCGCTCCCGGTTGGCGGAGAACTATACAAGCCTTTCGGATGGAGCCAGCAGCATATGGGAATGACAGGAGTGGGTCTCGTCTTGCCATAATAGTTTTCCTGACGCCCCGGCTGACCAGGAACCCCGGACTCGGGCGCTCACTAGCTTATGGATTCGTTTTACTTGGAACGACAACCCTTGGGTTCTCGATACCCAAGGTAAGCCTCTGAAGCATACACAATTCGCTAGGGTCCCGTCGTGTCAGATTCGGGACCTCAACATTCTACGCACAGAGCCTCGAGAGTTTGCCTTCACGATTCCATCGCTTTGCGACGATTCCCCGCGACACTTGTATCCTAAATTACGGAGATGGGCCACCATGATTTTAATCGCGTCACCGACGATTGCGATCGGGGCGGGGTTGGATGGGGCGGACCTGACCTTACAGCACCCGCCGCCTTTTCGGCGACTATATGGGTGGACTCGACTTACCGACACCTTGGCGATAGGTACATGCCAGGACCAAGTTCCCCCAGTGGCACCCCCACTCACGTTATCCCTAAGGGGAGGACGGACTCCACTGGGTTTTGCACGGAGGTTTGCCGGCCTTACGGTGTCATTCCGAGCGTGAGTATGCGTACTGGCGACGTAAAACCTCACGGGGCCTGGGTTTTCATGCTCATCCGTCGCTTCATCGATTCCCTTGGAGTGTGTCGGAGACAATCGATAATGAACAAATATGGACAGCGGTTCAACGGAGTGCATTCCATTATCATAAGCGGCTGCTCCGTCCGGCACTACAGAAGTGGGTGACTCACTTCGAAGGCCAGACGTAGATAGACCTATGGCTCGAGGCGGTAGCAGATCAAAGTCCTGCTCACGTTTGGAATCATGCGAAGAGTTTCACAGAGTATCAAGTGTGGACTTGTTATCGTATTGCTGCCAACCAGATGGATCTATATCACGCCGGTCGATCCGTCGACCATAGCTGCAAAAAAGCTCGAGCTCTGCCATGGTTGCAAAGAGACCGCGTCACATATATTCTGGGACTGTCTCACAGCGCGGGCATATTGGAGCCTACTCATTCGTCATTGGACTGGGACGGGGGCGGGAGAAGTCGAGCTCACAGCCCGTTTTAGACACTGTACCCATCGTCGGGCTCCATCGCTACCTCACCGTCTACGTGAGCTTCTATTCATCGTTTTCAGGACGAACATCAGGCCCAGAGGAAGAATTTCGACGCATCTGGTTCGTTCTCTGCTCCATATGCCAAGTGCATCTCTGGGTGGAGCGCAATGCGGCGGTATTTCGTGGGCAGCTCTCATCCACGGTCGGGAGTGCGTTAGCTTTTTGGGAAGCGACTGCGGCAGCTGAAGGCGATCGCTATACGCGAACATCGGTCGGCGGTCACTGCAGTGAGCGGAGCGCGTCGTCTCGCCTGTACTGAATGACTGCGTCAAGACCCGCAAGGGCACCCGACTTCACGGGACATCAGTCACGACAAGCCGCCAACCCCAGCGCTTGTATCCTGACTGGCAAGATGTCTTTCAGACATCTTGCGCATGTTAATATGTGAATAGACGATCATGAAACTCCTCATCCACTCGGAACGAGCACGAGATTGCTTGTACTCTGGGAAAGGTCGAAAAGAGCTGCTCCTCGAAAGGCGCGCGCACGACCATGGCAGTGTGTGTTGCTTCCCTCGCTCAAGCACGAACACAGCGGCCACTTTTGCGTGCTTCCTACATCTATTGATCGTAAACACGCGAGTCTCGCGTTCTCGTTCTGCCCTTGTCCTATTGATTGGTAGCCTCTTTGACAGTCGCAATGCACGATCGCACAACAGCGCACATCAGCAGTTGTAGTCAAGTTGTTGAAGGCGGTGGTGTTAGCAATGCCTGTTTAGAAACGTTTCTGTCAGTCATAGTCACAGCAGGTTCAACTGCAAGAACATGTGACAGTGACACCTGATTGGTCGAGTCCAACAACATCTTGACAGATGGTGAGACGAGGCTACGACCGGTGACAGATGGTGCGACGAGAGCACGACGTAGACAGGTGTCGTGACAGGATGGTGACGAACCAGATGGCGGGACGAGGTGGCGACATGACCGTTGGGCGACATGGCGGCGTCTTTTGAAGATGAGCAGGATGACGGACGCAATCATGTTATGGTCAAGTTGCAGTGCATGTTTATATTATGGTGTTAGCGAACGAAGATAAGACACTAATATGTTCACTTCTACTTCTACCTCTTCGCACACAAGTGCATTAAACAACTCACGCAATTTCCGACAGGTCGTTGAACCCGTAGACACGACAGAGCAACAATTTTACTCTTGTGCTCGTGTGTGGAAGCGATAAACAGGTCGTACAAGTTTGCTGAACCGATCGGGCCACTCACTCCCGCGGTCCGTGGCGACCGACGGGCTGTTGAGGACCTTAGTAGACGACTTGAGGGTGGTTTGAACTTCGGGCAGAACGACGACAAATCGCGGAAGAAAATGGTGACTTTGTGTTGTGGCAGTAGTGACTAGAGCACCAACGTGAGTATTGCAATATTTCTAAAGCTTATAAACGTCAGTATGAAATTATGACGTCGTCAGCGAGACCCAAAGTGATTTGGTGTCATCAAAAATAGGCCGAGCCCCTATTGCACGAGTTTTGCTCAGCACGAAGTCGACATGTGTTTGTTCCGATTTCAGTATCACGACTCCAGTGACCTGCGATCGAGCAGGGACATTTCGTAACGGGGCACACCCTTGCGTGAACTTAACGCAAGGGTATCGTGCACCGACAAGCGTACACGAGGCAACCGAGGGAGCGGTAGGTAAGACAGAGGCAACACTGTCTTAGGTAAAAGCAGAACTGTTATATGAATATAATCAAGTCTTTAACCACTGTCTCTCTGTTTGACTTAACTTAATTATACTAATCTGGACGAATGTATGGCGACGTCTACTCACCACTCATTGCGCGCGTCTTGCGGCGATTGGTGGGTTGATATCATCAAGATATCAACCAATGAACAGACTCTTTGGTCGACCCTTCAATATCACCACTATTGGTGATATTGTTAAGAGAATATTCAACTTATTATTCTTTATTGTCATTATCTCTAAAATGACACTTCCATGTAACGGGCTGCCCCGTTACATCACCCCCCTTTAGTCATAGCCACCGTGTGACTATCGAAAATGTGGAGGCCACCCATTGGGCACCATGGGGACAGGGAGCACTTGTGTCCGTTCCATTCACTTTCCACCCGACCTCGCATAGTTAACATGTCTATGCGGGGTGACTCAAGACACGCACAGCCCGCTGCTGTGCTAGCCTCTGCGGCAGACGATTCGTCTTCTGCTGCTCGTTATCCGCCTGCAGCACCAGGTGCTGCAGGTGCACGCGGTATCGCACCGCGTGCGCATGATGACCCCGACATTGAGGTCATCTACTCTGGCGAGTCAGACGTGTCTGACTCGGGCAATGCTGCAGAGGCGTCTCGCTCACCGGCGACGCCTCAGTGTTCGCCAAGGCCACTGCCGAACGAACGGACTCGTGAGTTGCAACACAGTCTATTCGGCAGTGATGACGAATCTGATGATGAGTATGTTTGCTCATTACCGAAGTCAGCTCGTGCTCCTTCGCACGAGCGACCTGACGATGGTGCAATCCATCGTCATTCTGACAACCGTAGTACCGACAAAGGTACCACCGTGAAGCGTGATGAGGTGAAGCCGTGGCGTTTGCCCGAACGGCTCATCAATGGCTTGTC